ATTAGTATTAGCTTATCTAAGACATAATGTTCCATTCAACTTGGATATGCATACTAGTGGAATCAGGAGATTCCTGTTGTAGCATAATATAGAGCACATTATAGCATATACAAGAAGGATGATGACTTCTGCCACACCCATTATTGCATGATAAAACTGCTTGCTATTGGAGTATTTGACAAGGCCTTCCACCATTACTAGGTATTTCCCCAGGATTGATTATGGTGTGTGTGTGTGTGTATATATATATATAAGACACTACTCATATTGAAAAAAACAGCTAATTAGAAATCCTTCAGCCACTCATATATAGCTAACACTTAATGTAGACCAAATGGTATGACACAAAAAATTACTAGAAGCTTTCTGGAGTGCTGAAAGTAGTCTTGGTTCTGCTTTCATCATCTAGTTCAACTTACTATTAACCAGATGTAGGATCTAGGAAACTATACCAGTGAGATGTGTTCAGTGCATCTAGATATTCATTTGTTCTTGGCAACAGAAATCCATTGACAAATGTCACTAACTTACTACTCTCACCCACCTGAAGTCTATGCAGAACTTGAGCATGCCTCTGTTATTTTTCACAATTACCATGGGTGGAAACTAATCACTTTCTGAAGCTTGAAGGATTTCATCCCTCAGAATTCATTTTATCTCAGTGCTGGCTACATCTATGATACTCCAAAGAACCCAGCATATATTCTAATTTGTAAGATGCACATTCCTGGTATCTGTTTGATACTGGGTGATTTATGTTATTCCTAGATAGCCATCTATCTAACAAATATATCAACAAGTTTTCTCTTTTGGTCTATTTACAGGTAATCTGCATAGTCTTCAACCAGTGATCTAACATACACTGATAACTATGTATTTGAATGGTGACATAAAGTTATCAAAGTGACAATAGCAACACTACCAATTGAAGTTGCCTCTCCATTCACCATATTAACTCATTCCTCCTGCAACTGAACTATGTGGCTATTATACTTAAAGAAATGGTTACTAAGGTTTCTTGTTTTTAAAAAAAAATGTTTCCTAAATTTCCATTTTTTAAGGCTTAACTTTTTTAAATAATGGTTTTCAGCAAATTTTCTTTTGATCATACCCTATCAAGAGTCAAAGCTGAAGAATGTTTTCAGAAAATTATTTCATTGATTTTGAGATGATAATGAATAATATTATATCGTTTGTGGCTAATGTTTTCAGTAGGTGTTGTAATAAATAAAAATTATCGAGCTTTCACTTTACCTGGCTTTTGGGTGGAGATTTAAAAAAAAAGAAAAAAGTTATTTCAAAGATTTTTATACAGTCCTTTTGGCCCTCACAAAGCTGCTAATTTGGTTCTTAATTCTAAAATGTTTGGTTCCTTAGTTTCCTAACTTTTACACCCTTCATTACTTATGAGCACTGTAGTAATAATAATAATAATTAGAATATACTTCTGTTTTTGAGAGAACAGTTAAAGCAAGTGTGGCATGGTGTTTAAATAAATAAAATGAAGCAAGTCAGCAGTCCCTTTACCACAGGATTAGCTAACTGTGTAGCCTGAGAGTATGTTAGCAAAGCTACAAAATGCTATTGTCTATATGCACTTGTGCAGCCCACTGTTCTTACACATAATACGACCTGTAACTTAGTCACACCACAGAGTTGTAGTTCTGTTACATGGGCTATATCAGCAAATATTTTCTGCAAGACATCTAAACTTAAAATGACAATGCTAGAGCCAAGATTTGTAAAATTGAGCTTTTCCATTTATATTGCAAGCCTATCATCACTGGTGAGGCAAAAATCTGTTTTTAGTGGCTGGACTAGGGGTTTACATTACAGTGGCTGATAGTTGTGATATCAAGTACAATTGTTGTAACTCCTGTATCAACTTAAAACTCCAAATTACATCCATATATTTTCACTGGCACATATAAAAAACATGCTCAGTCCTGTATACCATCATAGTCTGAGGATCATACAGAAAACTTATTTCTTCTGGATCAATGGCAATATGTGACCTGGAACTAAATAGTCTAAACTGATAAATCTAACAAAATTAAAAGTTTATTATTTTCCTTTGGTCTGCTGTCTAACATTTAGCCTGTATGGGTGACTGCATAGACACAGGAAGAGTGTGCCTATTCTACCAGTAACTGAACTGTCCATCCCGCAAGCATCTGTCCTTTCTTAATCTGTGATGTTGACATAATCAGTAAAGCTAAAGTAGCAAGTTGAGGATATTTTTGCTGCTCAGCTGACAGGCTGAAGTAAGCTACTATAAAGTATCTGCAGGTGTGCTGTTGTGTGATATGGTCTATTGCATTGTGGCTCTAGTACTCCTGTGGGTTATATCTCTGGTGGAGACACTGCATGCAGGATTTCTCTGCTTCATTTAGTTGAGGTCACTGTTTCACACTTTGTCATTACAGACATATCTTCATTTAGAGTCATGATGTCTAATGCCCAGTTGGTGTTACATAGCCTAACTAGGAATTCCTTCTGCAAACTTATCGAGGAACATATCTTGTCAACTGTCACTGTGCTGAGGTTCACTTATCTATGTAGGTAATGCATATCATCAGCATACTCAGCTAAGTATGAGATGATGTTGACTAAGCTTACATTTTGCCTGATAGATTGTTCTGTTTTCCCCCAGGTCAAAGTGATGGAGCAACTATACTCATACAGATATCTAAGCATCAGAATTGGTCAAGTTCCGTGTATTTAATAGCATGAAGTGTCAGACCATTAAAACAGTGTAAGCTGCATTGCATATTCTTGTATCTAAAAATTGTAATGTGGAAACCTGGCAAGACTGATTGAAGGAGTAACCTAATTATTTCATGGAAGTATAATCTGCTTCACCTCACTGCTTTCTACAGCCAGTAATAAGGACAATTGTCTAATGCTAATTCCTTCCATAAGAAATGACTAAGGGCTGACATCACCACAAATTTTGTCTATATCTATGAGAATTCTTACATTCTGCCACACATTAAACCTTTCTTATTCTTGTTTGATGACATATTTCTATAGCAATGATATCATTACTCAAGCAACCCAAGCACATGGTTCTTGTTGAATCTGACATCAACAATTCTGCTCTCTTCACAGCATGGCTCCTTGCTGGTTCATGGAACAACATTTATGGTTTGTTGTTAACTGCATTGACTGGTGCTAGGTAGGGTTAGGTTAGAAAAAATCATTCATCTGCTGGAGCTTATCTGCCACCATCATTATGTAGTCCACCCAGCATGTTGGATACTGATTTACACTGTATCCTGTATAGAACTTCCTAAAGGGTTTTAGCATGACTGTAATTAGGAGCCTCCTCATGGTGACTTTCACTCATTGTATTTGGACTTGTACGATCTACACAATACAGCTGATAATGGGCCTAGGTCACAGCTGAGGCATCTTGGTGGGTGGCCAAGGCATAAAGGTTTTAGTATGCTCTGCATTCAACAGAGAGCTTTGAGTTAATTGGAGGTGGGTGGGGTAATCTTTTGGTCTCATCCTTAGATTGGTACAGCTATTCTCTTCTTTATTTTAATCTTTAACAAAGAACAGATATCTCACAAAGTGTACCAAACACACTAAAGGAAACAAAGACAAAAACTAATGTCCCACTTTTGCAATGGCTAAATTCTATTCATGACATCCACTTTATAACAATAATAAATGAATCAAGATCAGCTAATCACAGCAACAATGGATGTTCAAGGACTTGGGATTTACAATATGTAAGGATAATGATTTGTTAGATGTTGAATAATAGAGACAAGATTCTGTGTGAAGATAAACACTTTATTAACATGGAAATATCATAGAGACAAAGACTAGTTGAATTGAGAGGTAAGAACGATGAAGATGAAAGTTAAATAAATAAAATTATTGTTAGTGTAATAGAATAAAATTCTGTATGTAACATAGACAAAGTCGTACTTTATGAAAGTATCAGTGCTTTATTGCTGAAACATTACTTAAAACAAAGACTTCACAATATGTCATGACTCTTCCAGATTTGAGCAAGATTTCTTAAAATTATTTTTATGGTTCATGGAGAAGATTCTAAGAATTTTGTTATATTTTCCACACCAAGTGACAATCATAAGATAACCTCACATATAAGGTAATGTTTGCTACATTACATCTACCACCTTGACTAATTCCTACTGTAAAGAGTAACATCGGACTAATTTCACAAGACTTAGACAAGAGTAATCAGTGTCTGAACTAGAATGCTAGAAAAATTGTTTTTTTTTTCACAAAATACAGACTATAAAAGAGTGGGATGTGTGAAAGTATTTTACACAATAAAGTATAACAGGTGAGTTTATATAGTAAAATCCCTGAAAGACATTTTGTAACACCAAAAATATTTTCAGAACTGCAGGTCATAGAATACAGCTGTCATTTGTCTAACAGTAGTATAAGAAATCCATTAGAAATTGGCTGAATTGCCTTTTTTATCATGATTAGTCATAATTCTAACCCTAAACAGTATTTGAAGTTTTGTTGGGAATGTAAGATTTGTGTTATTTTCTCTCAGTGAATTCCTTGCAATGTAGTTTAACCTTAGCATCACTGATTAATTTATCATGTAACACTCCTTATAAAACCAACATATCTTGTTTATCAGTAAGCTACTAATGCATTTTTTTTGTTTAGATGAATATGTTGTAGCTGAATATAGTCTAAATTGTTCTTTGTGTATTTTTAGATACTTTAGTAATATTTTAGCAAACATTATTGAAAGTATGGTATTTGTTAACATATAGACATTATTTAAACATTTTTACTTAAATATGTTTGATGTCTAAGTGCTTTCAATTAAGATATTTTACCAAGATATAATTTCAGATTAGATTCATTTTCTTATTTTGTGTATGTGATATACGTAACTTTCCTTTTTTCTTAAAGATTAACAATGTTTGCTCATAGAAATTCAATATTGTTTTTAACTGCTATTTTTCCATTAATATTTTCTTCTTTCTTTCAAGGAGGGTCTCACCTGTATGTTGGTGTTTGCCATTATTGCTGCCGTCCTTGGAATGTTTCAGTTTGGTTACAACACTGGAGTTATAAATGCCCCCCAAATAGTATGTATTCTGGTTAACTTCTCAAAATTTTTCTGTTTTGGTTAAATAATCTTAAACAGCAAGTTAATTTTTCTTAATTCTCTTAGATAATCTGTTTTGTTAATAATTTCAAAGATATTAAATGCTACAAAATAAATTATTGTTCATATAACAGCATGTTTAATTCAACAGTAGAAATAAAATACAATTAAACTATTTTGTTAAGAGCAAGCTCAGATAGCCCACTATGATTTTAATGTGGTGAACTTTAGAAATGTTGTGCTCTTACTAATAGAATATTACTTTTGTTGTGATGTGAATGTTACTATGCTGAAATTATACTACTTTTTTTTAGGTGAGTTTTAATTAACATCTTCCACACATTGTGTTTCTTAATTATTATATTATCTTTTAGATTTGAATTAAATCAATATTTTAATTATTAGAGTGAAAAAGGATTTGTGCATGAACATTACTCAAGTAAGTAAGCTGATTAAAAACGTTTTTATGTTTTTCACAATATTCATTATAATTATAGTACTATAATATCATTCTGTGATTAGTATTAACTAATAATACACAATAATTTAAGGTTGTTTTGAGTAAGTAAAGTGCTGTTGTGTTTTTATTATAACTACCAGGTACAGCCTTGTTCAAAAGTTTGCTTGTTCCTTTACTAAGGGAACTTGAGATAGTCTTAATGAAAACAACTATATGCAAAGGCTTTATACTTTTGCTAACAGGATTCAAGCTAAAATGCTTGTGGAAATCTGCTCCATTAGGTTAAAAGGTTGCCATGGTGATTTTATCTCTCTCCCAACCATTTTTAACTGAATAAGGAAAATATTATGTAATCTTTAGTTTAATCCATAACTCATTTACAACTACAAGAAAACATGTGCTTCTCCAACCAGATGATAGTCATTTTATTGAACATGTGAACCCACTTGATGTTCCCACTAAAATGTCCACTCAGTACTGAATCAAGGTGACTTGGAGTCAAGATAAGATTAGTGTTGATGTATATCATTGTAGATATCTGCAGTAAAGTACCAGATTAGGAAATAAGGCAGAATGTTGTACGTTTTTAGTAAAAGTGAAACCACACTCAAAAATTAAATACATATTTAACTGGAAATCTTTGTGATTGAATGTTGCTTGTATTGTAAGAAAATCAAATTTTAAACAAATACTTTTTTTTTAAAATGAGTATAAGTAATTCTCACATATTAAATGTATATGATTAATTTACTAAATAAATATTTTCTTGAAATTAATGCATCAAAGAGAGCAACCACTTTATACTTGAGTTATTTGTATGCACAGACTAACACCTATGTATTATTCAGAACTGTTTAAACTTAAGCAAGTACTTTTAAAGGGAACTCTCAGGATCTGGTATGAACTGTAAAAAAGTAACAACTCCAAATAGCAAAGAATTGAAAGAAATTAATACTTACTTTTACTGTTATTTGAAAAAGACATTAAACATTTAAGAAAATACTTCTTTTAAATTCGATATCAATATACCTTGGTAGATAAAGATTTTGGAACTTTACATTGAAAAGATGAAAATCTTCAGAATGCTTTAAAATTTTAAATGTTCACACAAAGAGTATAAACAATGACAGTGTCATTGGTATGGTGGTACTCTGAACATAATACACACACAAATTTGAAATTTTTAGTCAAAGGTGTGTTTTATTGACAACATATCCTCAATTTAATGATAGAATTTTGAGCAAAGTCCTTTCTTTACATATTTAACAAGACTAAACCTCAAATACATTAACACAAATGTGATAAATTCTATATATCTTTGCCGAATTGAGCAAATAAATAAATAAGAAAAATATGTTTATTAAGCACTTTGAAACTTAAGAATTTATCAAAGCTCTTCACATTTTACTAATTAATATTTTAGGCTGAAAAAATAAGATAGAAAATGCTTTAGAAGTTAAGAAATGTTTACACTTTAATTATTTTTAAGGCACATTATTGTGCTGGTATATTATGAGTGAAAATTACTTTTTTTTGTAAGTTACTCTTAAATGTTTACACTGTTTTAAAGAAGAATGAAAGGTTGAATAACAACAAACTGTGAAACATGAAAGTCCTTTTACTTCTTGCTACTATAGCACTTCCAAAGTTTCTGCCCATTTATTTTGTTGTATGACTATATGTTCATTTCACTAAGTAGTATAGGCTATGATCAGACCTTATTAGCCTGTATTTAGAATACTTATATTATGTATGATTGTTGGTTTTTAAACAAAATAGTGGCTTAGTTGTGGGATCTTCCCTTTCCCCTCTACTTTGTGACACTTTTTGGAAATAATAGACATTTATTTAAAAACCAGAAGTCTGGTTACAATACATTGATAATATATTTAGCATGAGGCAACATGGAAAGCATACATAGTCTTAAATTTTGTTGAATTCTTAAATAACAATAGACTGAATGTCATAATTTTCACTTAAGAATAAAACTTGTTGTCTTTCCTTTTTAGATGTCAACATAAAAAAGCAATAAAGGATAAACTTATCAATAGTATATACAGAAAACCATATGCTGTTTCCATGCCACCACACATAAGATCGAATCACAAAAAATGTCCACCAACCTTACTTTTTGATCTGAGCCACACATTTTTGTACTCAAAACAAGGATATACAAACTGAACTGAATTACTTAAAGTATGTTGTAGAGCTTTTATTAAACTTGAATACCATAAAACTTTAAGTGGTAACTCCAACCCTTTCCTTATCAGTAACAAAAAACATTATAAATTCCTATAATTTTTTTTGTGTTTGAAATTCCCATTGATATAATTCATTGACTTGGTAACTTAAAAAATCTTCACATAAGATGAGGTTGAAACAACTACTAGTGTCTGTTTTGGTGAGTGAATCCTACTATGATGTTGATTTTAAATAAATTATTTACATAAAATATATAAACAAATGAAAATCTTTTTTAGTTTCAGAAGTTGGACAATGACATCCTTTTCAGAGTTTTTTTCAATTTCAACTAGAATTGATAAATTGCTTAAATATAGTAACTCATAATATAATTTCTTATTTTGTAGATTTTACAAGAATTTATATCAGATATATATGAAAAGAGGACAGGAAATGTTATTACAGATGGATTCAATGAACTTATTTGGTCTATCACTGTATCCATATTTGCCATAGGTGGTATGGTGGGAGGTATATCAGGAGGAGCAATTGCAAATAGGTTTGGAAGGTGAGAACAATATTTATTTGGATATTAGAATTGAGAAGAGTTATCGTTTTATATTTAATATCATATTTTATGGCATATAAAACTCACATTCTTCCTGAAAAAAATAGCCTCTTAAAAATCATCCTGCATCTAATATTTGAAGTTAAAGAAAATACATTTCTCAATTTTGTTCCCATAAGCTAAATTCTACTTAGTCTTTTCCCAGACAACTGTAGATTAGAATATAAAAATTAATCTATACAAGAATATATGATTAGGCTTATAATGAATGCAAAAAAAAGTTGAATATATGAGTGGATTTATAATAGATAATAATAATCCAAGACAATTAGCATCAGTATAGCTGAGCATTTCAACTGGTTCTTCAGTACTAAGCAGCAAATGTTTCTGAATCTTAATGAACACTACTGTATACTACAGTTCCTATTTGCAACATGCAACAATTCTTAAACTGTTTACTTGCAAAAGACACCCTGGCCTTTTTCCTTACTGCCACTTGTAGTTTGTAAACTTTTCATTACTAAAGCTGAGTAAGAGGGTTTGTATTCCATTGAAATATGTTTTTCTTGATTGCAGATTTTGTGTTTTATGATTGATGTTATTTGTAATAAACAGTAAATGCTTTGATACACTCAAATGTCTTGTTCCTAAATATTTTTTGCTAAAATATGGGTGCATCTTATATGCTGTAAAATACAGTATGCAAGCAGCCACAATATAAATCTACACAAGTATTTATGTGTGTTATTTGTATCATATTGTGGCTTTTGTGTAAAAAACTGGAATTACCAAGTAATTAAGTTGATTGCCTTTCACAAGTAGTGATGCAAATATTGCTAGAAAAATTTTGTAAAATGTAAGATATGTATTCAGTTAACTTTGATTTATCATGTTTAAAATCTATGTATGTATATAATAGTAGTAGTGAGAACAATATAACCAACTTGATGTTTCACTGTTTGGTGTATTTACTAAAGAAATTATCCTCTGTTGTCAATAAATATCTGACCTGTTCAACATTTTAAGCAAAACCAATGATTTAGTGTAAAAATCTTGTAAAACAGTGCAAGAAGAATAACAAATCAGATAAATAATAGACTTGGAACATTAAAATCAAAACTTTCTTTTTATAGTTGTTAACTTTATTCCTCAGGCTCCCAATTCAAAAGAGCCCCAAAATACAAATTATTGTTTAATAAAAACTTTTAAAAAAAGAGAGAGAAGTGCGTCAGAGAAACATATTTTGATAAAAAACTGTTGACAGTTTGAATTTAGTTAAGTGTCAAGTCAGAGATGCTTTTCCATTAGATTTTATAAATTTATCTTTTTTTTTATGTGAAAAATAACCAAAATAATCTGATTAGCATTATTGAACATTCCAATTAATTAAATAACTTTCAAACAATATGTATATATAAGGTCTTATAATCAAAATACATATAAGATTTCACATGTGGATACAAATAACAAGACACTACAATCCTTGGACTCTTTTGTTTTTTTCTTCTTTAATATTTTCTTCTGGTTTTATGACTTCATGTCACTCTTCAGGATGTAATTTTACAGCTAATCTATTATGAAAATCTTCAAAAACCATTTTCAACTAATATTTATTTTTCAAAATGTCAAATATAAAATACAATATTTGAATAAATCAACTACATTAAAATATACTCAAAAATAGATTAAAGCTTATCAATTTTTACTGTCTTTTCCATTCCTTAAAGATTTTTCATTTGATTAAAACTTTATTTTAATTGTACTTTCTCCTGTTATAGGAAAGCAGTTTATTTCCATAATCTAATAATTTAGTATCAAATATACCTATTACTTACTCTCTTGCCATTTCTTGTGATTTCTTGTAATAGCTTTTACCATCTCACAATTCTTACTAACCTTACTCAATTACTATTGCTTCAGCTGTCTTTCTTCTAAGAGTATATGAAATATTTTTTTAAACTTTAACCTCTTAAGTTTTATGTTACATGCCCAGAAAGGAAGCACATAAAAATATGTTTCTTTCAGAATTTTAAAGTTGCTCAAAATACATTCATTAAAATGTTTGTTGAATATATTGGGCTTTTTTTTAGATCTAACACAGAATTCATTTAAATTCATCCTTAATCTTAAATTATATGTTTCACCACAATTTACACATTCTAAAAGATGTATTACATTTCTAGAATTGCAATTAAGTAAAACTAAATATCTTTATTGTTTTTGTAGTTTTAATATAAGCTAAAGTATATAAACCACAACTCTTTCTTTCAGAAGTAAAAATACCTTCCTTAGAAAAATATTTTTTGGTTTTTTTTCAATAACTTATATACATTTTTAGATTGCCTTTTTAATAAAATGTTATAATATAATGCTATCCCTTTTATAGGGTCAAAATCTAATTTTACTTTTAATAGGAATCAACCTTTATATGAAGCATCATAAAAATATTCTTTAAGGTTTAATTTCCTAATAAATTCATACGTGTTATCTCCTAATTGTCTTTTATTATTTACAAGCTGAGGTACCCATCCTTTGTTTGGGTTATGAACTTAAAAAAAAATGTGTGGGTGGATGCTATGATAAATAACACAAAAATCGTAACTTTCACACAATTTATTTATTACATAACATATAATTATGGTATTCATTATTATTATTATTACCTCAACAAAAGTTTTGTAGAAACTTTAAGAACTCAATATATTTAAAACATGGTATACACTGTGCGATGATCAGACACACTGTAGGAAGAGGTAGTGGCCAAAGTACTGGTGGTAGGAGTGCTTTCTGTTTCTTGCTTTCAACACCCAACAGCTCTTAATGTCCTTCCACTGTGTTTCACGTGATTAATTAATAAACAGTCATTGCATGCAAAAATATCTTACTGGCCAAAGTTGATAGGTCATGGGTCAAAGTAGGAAGTTGGTATAGCTCAAAAAACGGCTCTTCATATCAGCCTTATGGTGGCTGTTGGAGTAGAAACTTCAGCTGAGTTTATGTAGTATTGCAGTAGTGGTGGCCATTTTTTTTCATTGCATTCCTCCATAGAGAGTGGTAGAGCATTCTGTGAGATATATAATACTTTTATGTGCCCTTCCCACCACTATATAAGTCTGTCTTTCTAAAAATACCTCTGACAAAGGCAAATGTAAAATGCATCATACTGGTAGTTTGTCAGAGGTATTTTTAGAAAGACAGACTTATATAGTGGTGGGAAGGGCACATAAAAGTATTATATATCTCACAGAATGCACAATAAATCTAATGCACATTTATTATTTTTTGGTCTTGATGTTAGTTGAAACTTAAATTTCTTCAAGATGAAGAGGTATTATTACAATATAACTTTTCTGTCATGTGTTGAAATTATCATAACTAGTACTAATATATATATTAAAGTTGGAAAATGGTGAGTCCATAAACATACTTTGTTTTTTTTAAACAGGAAAGGTGGTCTTCTTCTTAACAATATATTTGCAATATTAGGAGGTGCTTTAATGGGCCTCAGCAAAGTGTCCCGTAGTATTGAGATGCTCATCATTGGTCGCCTTATTATAGGTTTTAACTGTGGTAAGTTGATTCCTAACTGTAAAATAATCTTTTTGTAAAACAGTTTTTAAATTATAACAACACAAATTTTTTATGGCTTCTAGAAAGTTGGGCTAAAATTTGTGCTTTATAAATTATAGTCCAGTTTGTCTGTGTATTAACTTTTAGATTTTTTATAAGAACTGATAAAGGGCCACCCAGGGGATGAAATTCTCAAAAAAAAAAGTAGAGGTACTCAGCTGAGTGAAGTGGACCTGTTTTTGAAAAAGAAAAGAAAATCTAGGTGTAAACATAAAAAGCAACATCCATTATGTTTTAATACATCAGTATATGTCTCTTAACATCACAGTTTTCAAAACCTTTATCATCTAGTACACTTGCTAGTATATTTTAGTCCTTCCCAGGAATAAAGGTAATTCACATTTGATAAATAGTTTCTCTACCTAATCTTAATATTTCCCTAAATTCTAAGAAATAAATAAACGTGAAATGTTAGCTTCATATGCATCGTTCTTTATATTGAATCATATGTTTAAGAGTTACATAGACATATTAACACTTTTTTTTTGTTGTTTTATAGGTTTAAATACCGCTCTCGTGCCAATGTACTTATCAGAAATATCACCTGTCTCTATACGTGGAGGATTAGGTAAGAGCAGTTAGGTTTGTACTTTAATATTTATTTGTGTTTGCTATAATTTGAATAATTTTTCTTTAACAAACTTCCTAAACTTAGCATACATTGATGAAGAAGTTGCACACTTACCTTAATGTTTTATTAACATAAACCAGCTCCCAACTAAAGTAGTTATGGAAACTACTAAGAAATTTAAAAAACACAGACAAGAGACACTTAACAAACACAAAAAACTTAAAAAACAATCCACAAAACAAAGGAAACCTAATAGCTTGCACTATCCAATATATAGAAAATATTAACATACCTCTATCAAAAATTTCCAAAAGACTAGCACATAAGTATAATCTTAGCAAAATGCCTAGATTCATTTTCACCCCTGGAATGAAAATTAAACACATGTTAAGAAAATTATATAATAAACCCACTCCAACAAGAAACATTTACAAAAAAAAAGTATAACAGTTGCTCAGCCTTTTACATAAATGAAACAGGACATAACTTGAGGATCAGGTTAAAAGAACAGCAAAAACCTAAGTCCATGAACATATGAACAAAAGGAAACAGTTTTTCTGTACAGAATGTCACAATACTAAAACATGAACCTGACATTAACAGAAGAAAAATCAGAAAAGCTTTATTAATAAAATCAAACAATCTCACAATTGACAAGTATCCAAGCAGATATTTATATGTTTTTGATCGTTATTTCCCCAGACATTCCTAATCTTATGCAAATATTCCTCATGACATATTCCATATTTTCATAATTCATATTTATTTCCTTTTTTTTTCTTTTTTCTGTTCAGCCATAGATTGATATTCTATACATTCGCATGGATTGATATGCACATTTCAACTAATCAGTGTGCGTGTTTAGACTCAGATGGGACCAAAGGCAGTTAGTTCAGGCAATACTATCAAGTGGTTGTTGATATCATGTGATTGTTAGCATGCACTCATTGCTGTGAAAGTAAATAAATATACATATCCTCCATTTCCCAGTACAAACAGTAGTGAAGTTAGGTTAGGCACACCTGGCTCCTGAGTCTTGTGTACATGTTAAACCAATTATGAAAATTCTGCTATATGAAATATTGCAATAACAAGCAAACAAAAATTAATAGTTTTGTTTTGAGTTTACTTGCTGATTAAGTGTTATTTTATTACAAGTTGAGCTTTTACAGCACGAAAGATCTGTTTTTAGAACAAGTACGATGTTTCAATCACTGGTGCAATCATTCTCGAGTACAGAAGTTTTAACAGTAAAGAAGGTTTTAGAACTGATAGTGGTTACTTATGCTTGAGAGAAAGAAGAAAAACAAAGTGGCACGAAATTAGTAATGTGTTGTGCAATTGCAGTGCTTCATTCCTGAAAAAAAATGAAGAAGTGCTGAATAAAATGAAAAAGACTTTCAAAAATTTATTATAAAATAGTTTTGATACTAAAAGATCCTAGAAATAAAATTTGACTTAGGACTCAAAGAATGCTAAAATAGTTCCGGACTTTCAAGAGTCTGAAACTGTTCCAGATTCAAGTTCTATTTAGCATAGCCCTACACAGGAATAAAATGGGAGAAAATACTAGGTGCCATGATGAAATGTTTAGTCACCATGGTGACCTGGTGCCCAGGATTTGTCGAGGCCTGTCTTAAACATGTAGCACAAATATTTTACTCGTAATAATGTAATAAATAAAACTTTTTCATCATGGAAGATTCTACAGACTAGGTGTAACATACAAGGTTGTTTTATTGTATTGGTCACTGTTCTTTTTTTTTTATTATTCTTATTAATTTTAGTATCGTATACTATTATATAATAAATTTTTGAAAGTCTTTTTTCATTTTATTAATATATTTTTCTTTGTTTTTTACCTTGCTTTATACCTAACTTTTTTACCTTCCCCGCTTTACTAAAATTGTAAAGTTATTTTTAAAAAAAAAGTTAGTTAATTTATTGTTCTTTTTATTATGTTTAACAGGCACAGTAAATCAGCTTGCTGTGACAGTTGGGCTTTTGTTGTCCCAAGTTTTTGGAATTAATTTTCTTCTGGGCACAGCACAAGGGTGGCCTTATCTCTTAGGTAAAGATTATCTTTAAGCTTAGTTATATACATTATTATACTATATATTGCAAATAAATTATTATACTGTATATGTTGAAAGTAAACTTTCAGTTATTTTCTTAAACGATTAAGTTAACCAATTATTTCTTGGGTAAAATTTGTCTTTAAATTTAGAGACAAAGTAGTAAACACTTTATTTCTGTCACAAGGTACACGCTATCTTATTTTTAAGTAAAAGAAACTAATACAGCCTTTGGCCTTATGTAAAGGTTAACTTTTGATTTTAGTTAGAAGTTGATAGCAGTTTTGGAAATAATTGTAGATACATGAAGGTATAAAAGGCAAATAATATAGGAATGCCACCCCTTTATTCTGTGAAAATTAGCTGCAATTGAGTACATTGACATATTGTTAGCTTACATTGTGATTAGTTGAAAAATAATACACCAGTATGAGGCCTATAAAATTATGTATGGGCAGTTATAATATGCCCTGAAGTAATAGTGTAAAACCAGTCATGGCTCCAAGGACTGAAATGCCAAGGAGCTGTATGTAAGACTCTAAAGAGGTTATTTGAAATGGCACTGTTAATATTGGTAGTGGTTGAAGTAGAAAACTAAAGCTCTCCAAAGTTCTGTTAAGTATCTCAAGATATGTTTTTTAAGAAATAGACAATAATGAAATACAGATTTTGCCAATGACCTTGCTGTACATATAGGTGTGAATAGTGTCTTGAGAACAGCGAGATATACATCAGCATGAAATATTAGCTCCAACAATTCAGCTAAGTTGTATGGTCTTATTTTGACCTTCTCAATTTTTGCATAAGCCTATACAGTCCCAAAATTTCAAATTAGATTTTGTGAAGGTCAAGCTACAGTTGTGAGGGTTCCACTGGTTTCTTTACAATCAAGATATCATTTAACTACACTTGTTTTATGATTGGGGTTACTGTCCTTGCTGCAAGATGGATACCTGTCTGATAAACTAGTCATGTTCCTGAGAGAATGGCATTGTAGATCAGAATCTGTGTATATCATTAACATCTTTGGCTACAATGTAGCCACAAACTTGTAATGAGCCTCAACCATGCTTCACTCTAGATGTTGCACTGGCTATAATACTGTTCTCTTTTCCATTATCAAAAACTCTCACTGATTTTTGCCAAACAATTCAAACTTGATCCGTTTATAAACAGTAAACATCTCCAGCTATAAAATGCTCATTCAACTGTTTGTGATCTCATACCCATTTAAAGTTTTTTATTTGGTTATCTTTCCTCAAAAATAGTTTCTGGGTAACTACACAATCATTGAGATCACAAGACATTTGGAACAATTTTTCATAACTTCGTTTTGATAAACTGTATGTCAACTTTTAATGCTATCTATAAAGCAGATGATTCATATATTAAATACATTGTACAACTTTTTGGTTTATTTTTTTGTTTTCTGTGATAATCTTTTGTACCATTAATCATTCACTATTTAGTTGCCATTAACTCATTGTTTATGTATCACTTGTCTGTTTCCTTAATTATTTCCATAACTTATCTCTTAATAAAGAAAATCTTAAACTAGGTAAATGTTACATAACTTCTAGTTGTTAGTCAACTTAACTTAGCATTCAGGTGAAGTTTAACATCATACTTTAGGTAATAAGTTTAGTTACTGTATTGATGGGATAATAAAAATGAATTATCATATGGTAAAGAAGATTGAGTTGCATAATCTGCGATTATAGGGTTGACTTATACTCTCTCTCTCTCTTGAATACTTGGATTGAGCTATCCCATTTTTTGGGTAATAAAATTGAGTTAACTTCTCTACTGGGTGATAGGATTGAGTTACCTTTTGAACAGTACATGTACAGTTGAGATACTTTGTTCCAGGATAACAGGATTGGGTTGTTTTTTGGCTTGAATAATAGAATTTAATTACACTGTTTGTTGGATAACAGAATTGAGTTACCTTATCTCTGGGTAACAGAAATAAGTTGGTTATCTTGTGTCTTACATAATACAATAGGTAAAAGAAATTATCTTATCTCTTGAAAAATGTTTGAGTTATTTTAATTCTCATTAATATAGTTTATATTCTTTAACTTTTGCTTTAGCATTATTTTTTTCTATTTTTTAATTATGAGAACATTAAACTATCTTGTGTCAGTGATAAGATACTAGTTAAATTATTTAGAAATGAAAGGTTACTTTAACTTCTAAGTATGGTTAATATTTTTCTGTTTTTTTTTAATAGTAAAGTTAATGTACCTTTGTATATTGTATCTCTGGTAATGCACGTGTATTCATGCAAATATGGAACCACCTTTTGGTAGAACCAATTTAGCTTCAAGCACAAAGAAGATTAAAATTATTTAATGTTTTGAATGTTATTATTTTGTCTTTAAACTTAAACATTTATCAGCATTCAAACCACTTTCAACTGAAAATTATTTTTAGAGCATGAATATAATGTTTTTCTGAGTATTAAAATTGTCAATTGGTGTATGATCACTTGGACTATTTGTACATGAGACTTTGCCAACTCTAACACAAGTGGCTGATCCAGATATATGTGAAAAATCTTTAAATATTTGGTTGTGAATGATGTCAAGTGTATTGGAACATGCTGTAGGTCAGTATGATGTAGTTCTTCATTCTAATGACTAAGATCACTTATTAATGTGGGTTCTGTATAAAATAGGATTCATCTATTTTTATCTTATGAATAATAGGAATGTGTTATCTTGCCTTATGAATAAAATTATTATCGCTTCCCACTTATTATACAAATTTTAACTTATCTTATTTCTTTGGAAATAAACTTAATTATTTATAATTTCTTGGAGGTAATTGGTTTAGGTTTCTTTAGATTATGGGTTAAGGAATCTTGTAAAACTTAGGTTCTTTGTTGTTAATCAAGGTTCCCACTTGTTTTCATTTCACATTTCTTATCAAGTAAACCATTGTATTTTATAAATTACTTTTTCAGAATTGATGAAAAAAAATATTTTTTCAGAGATAAACTTTTATTTTAACTATTTGATCAATTTTAAAAAAAAAATATTGTAAAATTAGAATTTATTTTGAAACTGAAGATAGTTATAATATTTGAACATCCTTACCTTCTTTAAATATTTTTGAATGGAGAAAAATATTTTGCATACAGTAACATACAAAACAATGTGATTAATTCATAGCAATTTTGCCCCACTTCTTCTTTTAATCTCTGGCAGTATGATAACAAGATTACTAATAATGAAAAGGAATTAAGTATGATTTTTATAGGATTAAAAGGTGGCCTAATCTTCTTTTAATAAAAACCTTTGACATATAATGTAATACAACAGAATATTCACCTTAAGGAAACTTTGCCGACTTTATACATTGTATCTGTTTTACAAATATGAGTAAGTTAAATATTTCTTTACAGCTATAGCAATCATACCAGCAGTTCTGCAGCTGTGTTTGTTACCTTTGTGTCCAGAGAGTCCTCGATTCTTGCTCATTTCAAAACAACAGGAATTTCATGCAAGAGAAGGCATGTATCTACATGAAATTTAAAATTTTAAGAATGTCTTATTTAAGAAAATAAACTTATTTATGAATTTCTAAGGTGATATTGCATATAAATGAACCAATTAATGGTTGCTGCTGTTTATTGAAAATGTATATCTTCTCATGTTTCTAGATACCAAATATGGTGTGAATGTATGCTTCATATAAGAATTATATGTAATTTATGTTTGTATGTCTAATTACTGTGCTAAGAATTAGCTAAACAATTTTATGCTTTTACATTCTGAAGGAACTTGATCGAGGCTATTAAAGTTTGAAGAAAACTAGACTGATGTATTTTTACACATTATAACCTAAGAGTCTGTTAAAAGGATGTTAAATTGATATAATGTGAGGGGAATAAGAACTGGTATTGGTGTTAAGTTTTGAATACCCTGTTGGTACTCTTATCTTGATGAAATAACACAGTAAAAGTTATAATTATTTTTCTAAATTTTTAAACATACTGGGCTCATTTGAATTTTTCTACAGGCCTAAAACGTTTGAGAAATTCAAGCAACATTGAAAAAGATATAGAAGAAATGAAAGCAGAAGAAAGAGCCAGTCAACATGAAGTTAAGGTATGTCCATAACTTGTGTAGTGTGTATGTTAATTGTTAATTTAAGATATCTGAATTGGTATAGAGTTTTGAGAGCTTCTAAAAAGTTGAATGAAGTGTCTTGATTCTGTTTTCTCAAGATTTTAAGATAATGAAAGAAAATATAAAACCTTTTTTATTTCCAGAATTGCTTAAAAGATATTCAGGTGGTGTGTAATGACTCCTTTTTAATGGTATAATGAGTAGTACTTTTGAACTTCACAAAACCCTAACAGTTCATAATGTTGTCTGCATGTACTATGGATAGATGAAGCTTTTTGAACCATCCATTTGTAATCAACTTATACATTTCTTTTTGTTTATTAAAAGTAATTTTTCTGTTCAGATTCACATGGACGATTTTTTGTCATTTTAAGTTATGGGTAGTGATTTATTTGGGGTACTATAATAAACTTTATCTACCAATATACTTAGAATAGTGTATGTTTTTACTTCTCTTACTTATTATCACTTCAAAAATGTTGAAGATTTTTTCACTTTTTTGTTCTATTCAGATAACAATGATGGAATTAATAAAGAATAAGAGGTTACAGCTTCCATTAATAATAGGTATAATCATGCAACTTTCACAACAGCTTTCAGGAATAAATGCTGTAAGTATTTTTTTCCGTGGATTAGTTATACTTATACATGATGATTTATTGTTATTAAATCGTTGTACCATGTAGGAAGTAATCTTTTAGTTGTATTTTCTTATCAAAAGACTTAATAGTATTTACACAACATGTTTTCTTGTTATTAAATGATTGTAACATGTTGGAAATAATCTTTTAGTTTTATCTTGTTATTAAATGATTTTCTGTTTAGCATAAATTTTGTTTACATTGTTGTAACATGCCTGTACCACCAGGCAGGTTCTTTTTGTTTACTTGGTAAAAATAATGCAAGGTCCAACTAGTCCATATAATGATTATAAATTATTTATTTCTTTAAAAATGTTCTACAGGTTACATTCCCTGATAAGCCTCACAACATAAGTATCTAAAGATGCACCTAACTCACAAATAAAAATTTGCGTTTAGGTTTCCATTTGCAATTATGACACAATTTCAAACTAATGCAACCAATAAACAATCAATAACACAGTAACAGTTTCACTAACTAACTGAATAGCTCACTGAATGATAAACTAGCTCAGTCACTCATTCTGATGATTTTATACAGTCTCATTTTCTTCATATGTCATGAAGTTCCAAGATATGTTGTCATCATTACTTAATGCTAAAAGCTCCATGGAGTGACTAAACATATATATATATATTGGTAAGATGGTTTCTATTAATCTATGGGTTATTTGGTAGAAAGAAGAATGCTGAGAGATACACTTAATGATAAACTAGCTCAGTCACTCATTCTGATGATTTTATACAGTCTCATTTTCTTCATATGTCATGAAGTTCCAAGATATGTTGTCATCATTACTTAATGCTAAAAGCTCCATGGAGTGACTAAACATATATATATTGGTAAGATGGTTTCTATTAATCTATGGGTTATTTGGTAGAAAGAAGACTGCTGAGAGATACACTTAATGATGCTGAAAAAATTTTATTTATTTTTTTGACTGAGTTAGTTTAATTAATATTCCCTGATAGGCTTAAGTTCACAGTAGAAGTTAATACCACAGTTTCACTTACTTGCTAATTCTCTTGCTCTACAAATTGTATGGCATATCTCTTATTATTTTGTTGAAACAGAAGTTTAACAGTTATAGCCCTCAACTGACTAAAAACCTCAAGAAAGTAATAACTCACTACTTCAGAGTCAGTGAAATTACCAATTGATTTAATAATTTTCTATTCTAGCCTCTAGAAAATTCCAGACATTAAGTTATGTGATCATCATGTGACATCAAATCTCCTTCTGGTCAAACAACAATACAAACTTTTAAATTAAGAAACATAGCATACAAAAACGTGTATATCTATATATGTTGGCACACACATGTAAAAAAAATTTTAAATTTTTTTCAATGCAAAGCTATCTGCACTCTGTCCACTATGGGGAATTGAACCCTGGATTATTGCATTGTAAGTTTTCAACTTACCTCTGACCCACCAAGGGATATTTAGAAAGAGATAAGGTTAATGTGTTTTCATTTAAGTATACTGTAAAATTACTAAGAGGTGATACTTTAAATGTTTAATGTAGTAAAACAGTAATATTTAATCGTAGGCTTTGCAAATTGCTAACTATCTCTTTAACTGTAATTTTTTTTTATACATTGACAAAACTCTTTGTAGGTGTTTTATTATTCCACGGGCCTTTTTGTGGCAGCAGGTCTCTCAGAAGAAACATCGAAGTATGCAACCATTGGTGTGGGGTGTGTGATGGTAATTATGACTCTGGTTTCCATTCCACTGATGGACCGGGCAGGAAGGCGAACATTGCATTTGTATGGGCTTGGTGGCATGTTCATCTTCAGTATCTTTATTACCATTTCTTTACTTGTAAAGGTAAACATTGACAAATTTCTTATGGTCATATATATCTTCATATGTAAAAGTTTGCTTATGTCTTGTTTGCCTTTTATATAGAACTTGAAGTTATGTTGTGTGTTGTTAAACTTATCATACTTTTGTCATAAAAATGGATGATTCACTCACTTGTACCTGACATCTTTCTGAAACTTCTGTTGAAAAATTAAGTATTCATTAAAAACATTTTATAATATTAAGGTAAAATTATTTTTGTTTTTTTTATAGTTGACCAGATACAGAATGTTGTGTTTGTAGTTAATGCTGAAAATCAAATTATCAAGTATTCTTTGTGAATATGTTTTTCTTAAAATGTTTATCTTCGTAGTCACATAGAACTATGTGCAGTGTTTTATTCAACTCTAGAAATCAAAACATCATTTTGTGGTAATCCTTACTTTGTTTTGTGATTCGGTTGTAGCTAAGCACAATTTCAGTCTCAAATTGTGACTCAAAAAAAGATATCATAGAACATTTCATTTCATCATCTGTTTTACTTGAAGGGTATAGAATTTGTCCAACTTTTTGCAGTATTTTCAGTTGGTGATATAGGTTTCATTAAAGAAAACATGTCATACTTTCAAATCCAAAGTGAAAATCTTGAAATTGCTTATGATATTAAATGCTTGATGTACAAGAACACTAATTAGAATGTTTTTTAAACTAAGTATTATTAGACTACTAAAGTGCTATAAAGGTGGATTTATGGTGACAAGAAATTTGAAAGGGTCACAAGAGTCATTTTGTTCAGCTGTAAATTTGATGCTTATTTGTGTAAGTATTGTGTAAATAGCTGAACACAGAAGTTGTGTTTTAACCATCTTCAAAATATCTGCAATACGACAACAATTTAATTTCTTTAATTAGGCAATCACTTAGTGTGAAAACGTAGCAGTGTCTTGTGGCATTTCATGTTGGAGGATGAGGTGGTTTTAGTAGGCTTATCACCATTAATGTGGAATGTATAGTAAATAATTTGCTTGATATTTTTCATGTTGTTATTCAAATAAGTTTATTTATTATGAAATTTAAATTTTTGTTGTTTTGGTGGTTTTAATGTGCCAGCCTGACTCCTTAATGAATCAATGATTGGATTAGTTGTCTAAGACTTGGAATATTAAACATTGGTTTAGGGGAAAATAAAAGGTACTTCATTCTAAATTCTATTGATATCTAAGATTAATTCTAGATCAATAATCAACCAAGTAAGTTTAAATCTTAAATAACTAATCACTTCAGTTATTAATTAAAGACACATTAAAACTCAAAATGATAAACATTTAAACTGGAAATAAACTGAAATTTTCAACATCAAATGACCAAATCATGAACATTGTTCACTATATATATTACACTGCCATACTGATGAACCTATTTGAAACAACTTCCTCCCACACAAAACACTGTAAGACATTTATTATTGTGAGAAGAAATAGTTTAATTAATATTTTAAAAAAACTTAATTTGTTGTATCTCAGACATATGGATGATATTTTTGTAATTTTCAAACACAAATCTTGAATTTAGTTCTTTTCATGATACTTAAACAATGCGCATCAAATTCACAGTTAAATATAGTTATATATATATATATGCACACATCAGGCATTTAATATAGTAAATGATATTTCCTTCATTGAAATGCTTTCCATATCTTTCTTACTGATTAAAAGTTAAATCAGTAAACTACACTTCTCAAATGAAAAAGTGTGATGTGGCAAAAAGGCTTACTTGTTTTTATGGGGTTCACAGTTTAAGGCTGAAAAAAGAAATTTAGTATTTGTTACTGCTAGCTTTTATCCTGTTGTGCTTAAACCATAAGTTTTATATACTTATTTCAATTCAAAGACAAAATTCCTACATTAGGAGCTCGTTTGTTGTTTATCAGTTCACCTATCATCAGTATAGGTGGGTGGAGCCTCATTTGATCTGTAATTTGCTGTTTGTATAAGAATAACATCTGAAGCCAAGTGTATAAAATTGTACATTTTTCAGAATGTGAACAGAATGTTTAATGTTGAACCTATTAATATTTTAAAATATTGTGTTTTAGTATGTGATGAAAGAACTATATTCCATTCAGTCATCAATTTAAATCAGAATTATAACATTAATCTGTCAGTGGATCCATTTCAGTAACGTTTTTCAAAACTATTTGCATTGAGTAAATGGAATCCTGTAATGTATATGAAGGTTCTTCATATCTAAAATATATTCAGTTTCTAAAAAAAAATTACTAATATTAAATAGAATTATCTGTGAGTGATATGTCATGTTTTCTGTATCCTTAATCTAGTTTATGTACTCCTGGGTGACTTATCTAAGTGTTGTCAGCACACTAGGTTACGTGGTATTCTTTGCTATTGGTCCAGGTAAGAAAGCTTACAAGCAAACGTATAGAATTGTGTGATAAGAGTATATTTAATGAATAAAATTATGCCGTACAGAATTTCCAGATGATCTACTATACATTTCCACTTTTAGTAATGGATAGAACAGTTTACTTTTTTATAGTTTCAAAGCATTAATAATTAATCTGTATCTTTTATTATTCCATATCAAAACAAAGAGAGTAAAAAATGCTGTTATAAAATACTTCAGTTGTCTGAATGCTACAGAAGAAGTATAAAAGTTTCATATGAATTAATTGTAGTTATTATTAAAACCTGTAGCCAATTTTATTATGAGTATTTTTTCAAATAAGATTAGTTAACATTTTCATTAAAACCTATACACATATGTTTATGAAGTTTAGAAATATTACATTTTGTGTAAATAACAAGTTTATGAATCTAAATAATTAGAAACTGGAATTTAGTATTAAAACTAAAATCATGAAACAATCCTCATTAAAAGATATTATGAGGAACAGTTGTTTAAAGCTCTTAAATCAGTTATTGTTGTGCTTATGTGTTTGTACTATTATCAGATTAAATCATTTTTTTGTATTCACCCCTTTCACTTGATATGGGTATCTCTCACGTATGCTAAATCATCTAGTATTTGTTGAGTTTGTAATATGAGAAATTTTGGTATATTTTTTTAATTGAAGTTAGGTTCATTGGTATAAAATATATGCTTGTTAAGGCAAGTGAATAATAACTCACAATTATCACGTAAGTTTAAATAAAAAAAAAATACTAATCAAATGTGATTACTTATAAATCATGAAAAGGAAGAAGCAATCAGAAATGAGCAATAAAAAAAAATCTCAAAGTTATCTTGAACCAAATTCAAATGAAATGCTACATAACTTTTGTAATTAAGACCTTAGTAAAGTAAACTAACCAAAAGGTTAGGAAATGAGAAAATTCAACAGGAAAAGAAACTACATCCTTATAAAACAAATACTTAAGAACCAAAATGCAACATTATGTTGTGCATTTAATACAAAGTAAAGACAAGTAACAAAACAAAATAGAATAAATGACACTTCAGCTGCAAAGAATATGCATATGTTTATCCTCCCATTCGACTCCTTCACCAGGTGATTTTGATCATCCATACCACTCGGATTGCTCCTTATTGGCCAGCTCAGCCGTGGTTTCCACGACTTACCCAGCTCCAACTTACCCCTACACTACCTCTTTCTCTGTCTCCCTTCCTTCTTTGGCAACCTCAATCATTGTTGCTTCATCCTGCTCTTTCTGTCTTCCATCTTCATTATTGGTTTTTTTATCCAGTCCTTGGCGAGGAGATTGGGATTGTCCCAACATGTAGCTTCATTTCTGGCTTGTTCCATATGCCCTTCCTCCATGGAAGTTTATCAGCATAAATGGAACATTTTTCTGCTGTTGGTCTCTGGGCTAGTGGGTTTTGGCTGATTGGCCCACTGTTCCTCGTATTGTGGAATTTCTTATTTTGCGTTTCGATTGGGATCCTCTGTCTCCTCAATTTCTGGTTATCGAGCAGCTTTATCACACACCTACTATTTTTCCCAATACCAAAAGGTTTTTACTTCTCCTACATTCTCCCTGTTAATCTGTTTCTTCTGGATTCGTCATCCTCCGTGGTGGGCTGCCCTTCTGAACTGTGATGTTAATGTTGTCCTTCATTGCCTCATTTTGCCTCCGTTTGAACCACTTTCCACATGCATTTTGTTTCACCTTTCCCTTAAGACTTATTTCCTTCTCCTATTAGCCTGTTAACATCAGTGGTCTGGGTAAATTATGTTTATTCTTTTTAAAAATTATCAGGGGCCTTATTTCCATTTTCATCATAATTCCCATTGTGTGGATCCCACTCTGTGGCGAGTGTTGCATGATCAGGTGTTCTTTAACCTTTAAAATCTGCACTGTTCAGCCATGTCAACAAGTTTAATATGTTCTATGGCCATGCAATACACACTGTTGAGATGAGGTGTTCACTTGCAGGTTATCTTCAAGATGAAATTGCTTCATAAATATGCCCGACCCAGACCATACCACCCATGGACTACATGAGTAAAGCAGAATGGGATAGCTGCCCATCCCATCCCTGCCATGCCTTGTATTGAATAAATCCATATGGTCTGCTTTTAAATTTAAGGTTTTATGGTCACCCATTGCACTATCTCAGGTGTTGGCGTTCCTCTGGCCTCTACACCACGTTTCATCCCCCCTTTTTTTCTAGTGGAGTTTGGGAGTCCTTACTACTTTCCAGTTTTAAGCCACTGGGGTGGTGAACTGTGGAGGCATCCTCCTGAATGATTTAATGGCATAAACTTTCCATACAGAAATACCATTCAGTGAAGAGAAGACAGTGGTGTTCTGCTGGTGTAGATGATGTGATATCCTCCACTATAAAGCATATGTAAACCAAAGGAGTGAGACGTCAAATTGCAGTTCACCCCTTCGATTGGGATCCCTCATCCTACCCCCATGTGGATGTTGGTTCTCACTGGCCAGGTTTTGGATTTAGAGTAGAACCAATCAACATAAGTCCTCACTCATGTATTATGGATGTCTTATCTTCCTCCCTCAGCCGTACTCCATCTGTGTTGTGAGTCATGGTGGAGGTACTTTGGATTGTTATGGTTCTTTCCCTTCTGCTCTCCCGTGATGTATCTTATTTCAAGGACATTATTGCACCTGGGTTGGTTCTGGTCAGTTTCTATGTTGAGGGAGTCAATTTCTCTATAGTAGACATCTTTTTGATTCTGGATGTTGAGTTCCTGACTCTGTATATCATTTTCCATTCTTAACATATGCCCTGTTCTGGAGTCAGGAGGGTTTGAGATCCCCTCTGGTCTCTTGAATTTGAGGTGAAGATGGTATGATCCTCATCCTACCCCCACGTGGATGTTGGTTCCCAGCACCATGGGTTTTGGATGTAGTTGACTTGCTGAGTATGGTCTGTTGCATCCTAGCCACTCTACACCTGGGGGGCACTTCCATTGTTTTTTCCCACACCAATTGGATGTGCTCCTCTGTTTTCTGCCCATATATATATGACACTTTTCTCAGATGGGCAAAGAGTATACCTGGTTCAGAAGTAGTGTGGTCTCCCACATCAGATCTTCGAATCTAACTCTCTAGTCTCAAGGTATGTCTTTCGGACACTTTTGAAGGATGCTTATTTTCTTCTCTCATACCAGTCCCTCCACCTATTTAATGTGGAATTTAGCTAATTATGTGAGAACAGGCAATGTACCATAACAGAAGTTATAATTTTCCTATACTTACCACCTTTCACACTTCCCACCCTTCCTCCCCACTGAAAATTGGTGCTTCCATTTTCTGCCAAAACTCGAAGTGATAATTTGGTAAAATTGAATAGAGGGAGTCACATGAGTAACGAGAGTGTGTGGTACTCTCTTTGGTGGAGGGTTGTTGCATGAGAGACTCATTGGAATGAGTCATTTCCAATGAAGGGGAGGCAAAAGGCTTGTATTATGCGTGAAAATGTTTTTTGCATATAGAGGGCAGCACTGAACTAGAATAGCTAATTATATGAGCGAATGTAAGTATCTATCGGAAGTACATTTTCAATACAGAAAAATTATAACTTTCATAATTAGCAGCTTTCTATAATGTATTGTAGGTGGTTGACTGGATGAATCCAAGTCAAATTCAGCATCACATTGATCCAGGAAATCCACCGTACTGCACTATTTTTCTTCATTGAATAAACTATTTGGGGGCAAGCATATCTCCAGAACTCTCTAGAAGGCAACCATCTTAAGTGCTCACAACGCTTTAGTGTGAGCTAAAAATTTTACCTTTTTGAAACTCACTCAAACAGATTCCCTAGAGTTAGCAGCCTTGAGACTGTATAAGTGAAAATTGATAATCATTAGCTTAAAAGCATGAATTTTGTATAAAATTATGTACTTCAACAGAGTCATATTTAAAACGTAACAAGCAATTCAGTTTGTAAGAGGCTTACTTAGCTAGTTTCTAAGTTATATATATCATGCAATCAGAACCCTTCCTTATTGCATACCACTTAGGGTTTATTAAATATTTTTTCCTTCTAGGATCCATTCCATGGATGATCACTGCAGAACTTTTTTCCCAAGGCCCAAGACCAGCAGCTATGAGCATAGCTGTGTTAGTCAACTGGTTAGCCAACTTTGTCGTTGGGTTGGTATTTCCTCATATGCAGGTATGTTCTTAGCACTCGTGTTTCTCTTAAAGCTATGCATATTATGAGAAATATTTTGATATAGATTAGTCACTGTAATTGTTTGGTTTCAGTTTTAAAAATTAATTATAAGGCTGAAAAAAAAACACCCTTATGGGGTAACTATTAAATTATTCAGGGCTGTACCAAAGGTAGTGTGAGCAGTGCACCCACACATAGTGCCAACCCATAGGGGGTGCCAGTTTGCATCTTTGAAGGCAAGAATTCATTTGATTTTTTTAGAAGGGTTGCAGAATTTATACCTCGCACAGGATGCCATTAATGATCAGTATGACCCTGGGATTATTATTTGTTGATTCACATTGAATTCATTGTATAAGAAATGTGCAATTAACTAAGAGACTGTAAACAATGTTTTGTTACTTTTGTTTGTTTTTTCATTCATGCTAAGTTAAGGCATGCAAAAAAATTATTAGTAAATTTCTTACATTATTAGGAAATTTGCTTGCTCTCGCATGTTTTTAAAGGTTAACACTGAATTTAAAACTTAACAAGAGGGAATCCTCAATTGCTGTGGTCTTAGTCTTAAAATGTGCTAATTGTGCATTGGTTAATAAATCTTGTAATCTCAATTTTGCAATTTATGAGATCAGAGATTTACTTTAACCCTATCACCATGGGTATACTTTACTGTGCATGACACAAGGTTTTAGTGTCTTACATTCAAAATTTTATTAAACTACTTTTTGTTTATGTCATACCAATTAGTCTAGCATAAAATTTCAGCTAGTAATCCATAGTTTAATTGTATGTAAGTTTTAAGTTCTTAATTTTATAAGACAATATTTAAAAATTTCACCTAGTGTAACACACATGACACATTTTCTGTAGGTATCTTCTCATCTCTATGTTATCTACACACCCTCCAGAAACTACAAAATTAAACATAAATTGCTCACTATAAAATTGTCCTTGCTCAGACAAACCATAATTTTTATAGCCTTCAATTTGGTTACAGAGCTATCAAATAGAAAATCAGATCCCTCCTGTCACATCCTCTCTTTCAGAATTCATTGATAGTTCTCTCATACGTTTCATTATATAAATTACCTATAACCAATAGAAAGTCAATGTTTTCATCTATCAAATGACGTATTGTATAATGTTATATTTTGAACACAATATCGTCAATTTCACTCACAGTACAAGATTTATTCCCGTGGGAAAGTTAATTACTAACTTGGATGAATTTGTAACCACTCTTATTGCATAGTTAGAAAGTCAGAAGTGAGAGTTAGGAGAAACTGTCTACTTTTTGCATGTTATTAGTCTATGTTCTTTGGTGCATTATTCAATTAAATATAAATTATTTAGTGCATTACTACTATTAGTATAAAAAAAAGAGGTTTAAGTGTCATCGACAGCAAGAAAAAAGAAGATTGGGTAAGTACTTTAGTTCTTGTTTTTCATGTTTATTATTTATTTATTATTATAAAAGTAATTAACTGGAAAATAGGAACCTTTTTAAGTTAGTTAAGATTAGATTAGGTAAAATAAATAAATAATAATATAATAAAAATGTTTCATGAGGCACACATGCGAGCAGTTCATAGTGGCTCGTGGGTAATGTAATTTGATAGCATAATGTGAGCTGCACATTCCTCGAGTGATTTACAACTTATAATGGTGAGGATAGTAGTTAGACATTGTTCAAAGTACAATCAAAAGGTCAATGAAACAATAAAATGTAATTATAAACAGATGTATACTGTTACAAGTTTAAAGCTACTTAAGACAAACGAATGTAGTTTCACACTAAATATGAAGTCATTCTAGAAAGAAAAAGATAGTAATTTAGATTTATTTTACTTTTTTTAGGGGGGTTACGAGGTCAGTTAAATTCACCAGCCTTGTATAGAGTTAGGGTACAGAAAATAACAGGAAAAATATAGTTTTACTGAAAACAAACATTTGAAATGTATTTAGGAGGTTTTAGAGATTACACAAATGAAGTTTG